GTTTCCAACACAACTTTCCAGATGCTTCTGTGTAACAAACCACTGGGTGCAGTGAAAGTTATGGTGGTCCAGCAGACTCCCCTCAGCACACTGAATGAAAATATAGTTAACGCTCACTGCATCCGCACAACAGATAACGTGCAATGGGAAGAATCAGCACAGCGGACTGTGGGCAGGTTGTGAGTGTCTGCGCTCTTATTATTGGCCTGGTGCTGGATGAACTTCCTGTACTCGCATTATTGTCAACTCAACTGTAACTGCACTTAAAGAGGTTTCATTCTCCCTGCTATCTTCATTTGTCTAACACGGTTGTGGCCTGTTCACAGTTGTTTTTGAAAGCCAAGCATTCACTTTTGTTACTTAAAAGTGAAGCAGTGACGATATTTCTGGAGCCCCTTTTCCCTAAATTACAGATAATCAGTTAGACTGTGTAACTGAAAATCCCAATGGTACTCCTCAACCAGGGACAACAGGGCTCAACTCACCTTGCCAGAAGACTTGTCCTGCTCCTCTACATCCTCGTGTACAAGATCAACCACCTGGATTTCTCCAAGGCCCAGACATTTGTTCTGCTCTTTCCCAGTTTCCTCCACGCCCTCAGAGGCCTCTGTCTGGGGGACCTGCTGCTCAGTTGGGCTTGACAACCCCGTACGGTGGCTAGAGAGTATTCTGTAGCGTTCTTCCCTCCGGGTGCTCCACTTTGTGCTCCGCAGGTCCCCAATTATCCGCTGCGAACTGGTGGCAGAGGGGCGCAGCGCGTGGACCATGCGAGGCCGAGCCAAAGCCTGCCGAACCTGCGTCTGGACCGGAGCGTCCTGGTGACGAGAGGACAAAGGTGAGAATCTACAGCGCTAGGACGTGCACATGGGGACGTATTTGGCTTTAATCCCCAAAACACAGGTGTTGAAGGAATTTAAGTAAGGACCCGACCAGGGTGTCGCAAAAGCTTCATGGATGTCCAAAGTGTACAAGAAACCTTTACACAGCAGGCCTGAAGCTCAACATCTGGTTCACTTCTGTGAAGGAAACTAAATAGAAATGGTTTAATAGAATAATGGCCAAGCATCGGGGACAAGAAAACACTGAATTTATGTGAGTGTGTATGATTGTTAACAGTGAGAGAAACTGTATAAAAAGGTTCAACAACAACAAATCTGCTCACAATTCATCCAAATAGCTCATCTTACACACACTTACTCCACAGTTACTGAGCTCAGTGTTTAGGTTAAATGTACAGAACTGAATATAATGTAAAAGATTTATAAGATAGGAACCACTGGACCACCCAATCCCCCCTGCATCTCTCCAACACTGTCCCAACATGTCCCAGTGAGCCGAGGCACATCCACAAAAAGCCTTTAAATAGGACTACATGTTCACCAGCTACGAGGATTAGCTTGCGTGATGAAAGGGACATAAATGTTTGACACTGTGTACTTAATGTTACATCTACGACGGCTTTGATTTGGTATACAGTCAGATCGTCTCTCTTCGAGGCCTGTGAACGGGTCCAACTACGTTCAACAAAAACAAAACGAGCTACCGACCGCACAGCTAACGCGGTCTGACGCACGGCGGGCTAGTGTTGGCTAACAGCGCTGACTAGCCCGAGTGCTATGCTAACAACAACTAGCACAGAAGGCGCGTTGTTTTCCGACGACTATTAGCGTCAATTTAAAACGTTACATACAGCTTTCTATCAGCCGGTCAGTTTAACTAAATCCTTAAGTTTGTGTCGAGACGCTAACGGACGTGTATTTGCCGTTTCCACCGCCGGCTGCATTGACGTTAGCCAGCGGGCCTCTCACCTGTGTCGCTACGGTCGCCACGAGTTTGAACACGGAGTTTTCCACCTCGGCTTCGTTGGGCTCCGGTACCGTTTCTCCCGAGCCCTGGGACGTCTCTGGGCGGATACGTTTGCATGCCAGCAACAAAGCATCTGCGGGGTCGGTCCCCCTTTTTCTTTTGACTCGCAGAATCGTCGCGTTTGGATCCATGTTGTCCCGCTGTCTGAGTGGGTCTGGTTGTCTGGCAGAGGCAGAGAGAGGAGGACAACCGGAGAGCTCTCACTCCGCCTTTATTTCTGGGTACCACAAACGTCACAGTGTGGGGCGGGGGGCTTCTTCTTAAACATCTCATCCTCAATTGTTTCCTCTTATAACTTGTATGTATAATTCCTATCCCCTCGATTTATTTAATGCATTTTGTCGAAGATATTACTTCGTGCCCTCAAATAGTTGAATCTGTTCCGTTGAGTCTGGAGTGTGCCACCTTGACTTTTAGTGGATAATTCTAACCAATTCAATTGTTGCATAACAGTAATAATACAAATATCAAATCATTACACTATAATCAAGTAGAATTATTACTTTGCAGATGTAACAATCTTTTTTTAAACAATATTGTATTCACATTTAGTGTTTAAAGTGTATTTAGTGTATGTAGTATATGCTAAATGAAGGTATTATTTGAAGTCTTAAAAATAAAGAGGGTAAAAAAAAATAACAGGAGATTAAGTTGATGCAGAGAACTACTAAAAGAAAGATTCATCTAAAGACATTTCCCCTGATACCTGCTGATACTATGATACCTATTGATATGTCACATTTTGAACAATTTTAAAATCAATTTAGTCACTGTCCTTCCAGCTCAGCCCTCTTCCTCCCTTCAGTAATGAGATGTGTGCTCTGAGTGAAGCCACACACACACAGCTGGTCTGTCTTGCTGAACAGCTCTAGCTGTTTTTTTATTTGTCTAAATTCCAGGAGGACTGAGCATTATAAAGATAAAAGAAGAAAAACAATTGGCTGCAGGGTGTAGTCATGTGACCTGTTTAAGTGAATGGCTAGGTGGAGCCACACTGAAAAGAGGAGTCACATCCCCCCAGTGTAAGTAGAAGTATTGTTTGGTGTGACAGCTGCTGCAGTCAGCCGGTCCCTGTTAAGAAGAAAGAAAGAAAAACTGAATCTTGCTTCTTCTGAAATTTTTCAAGAATACCGGATAACTCTTTTCTAGGTGAGTACACATTTCACACTTTATACACCATCTTTAACAAACATTCAGTAGCCAGTACATTAGGAACACCTAGTTAAAGCTAATGCAGTGTAATACAACAGTCCTGCTATAATTCCTAGCTTCATCAGTTGTACTGTGTTATACTGAATGGTGTTTCTATTATTTTGTCCACTCCATTCATATAAATGAAGATAAATCAAATAACAGCAACACATCTTTGTATAATGTAACACAGTTCAGCAGTACCACAAACTGCAGCCTTTCCCTTGACAAATGGACATTTCTGGAATAACTATAACTATAAAGTAACTAAGCTAATGTTCTAATAATCCAACATATTTTTGATGTATGAACGTATGAAAGTATTCAAGAATTCATATTTCAATGACATTGTTATTTCACATGTTTCAGTCTTGTCAGCATGCCAGCTGCCACCTGTCTGCTGTCTGAAGAGCACTTTCTGTGCTCCATCTGCCTGGATGTGTTCACCACTCCTGTCACCATAATGTGTGGACACAACTTCTGCAAAAACTGCATCACTGAAAACTGGAGAATCAATAGAAAAATACAGTGCCCCCTTTGTAAAAAGCTTTTTGACACAAGACATGAGCTGCATGTCAATATTTTCATATCTGACATTGTTGCTCAGTTCAGACAGTCAGTGGTGAAGAAAGCCACGGAGGAAGCCAAACCAGGAGAGGTTCCCTGTGACATCTGTACCGGGCTCAGACCGAAAGCCCTCAAGTCCTGTCTGGTCTGTCTGGCCTCTTACTGTGAGACACACCTGCAGCGACATCAGACGGTGTCTGGACTGAAAAGACATACGATCATTGAGCCTCTGGGTAACCTAGAAGACAGGGTGTGCACAACGCACAACAAACTCATGGAGCTGTTCTGCAAGACTGACCAGATGTGTGTGTGTCAGTTTTGTACTGAGTCAGATCACAGGTTGCACGATGTTGTTCCTCTAAAAGAAGAATGCGAAGGAAAGAAGACTGAGCTGAGGAAGATAGAATTTCAGCAGATGATCCAGGACAGACAGCTGAAGATACAGGAGCTCACACAGTCAGCAAAGCTCAACAAGGAAGCTGCAGACAAAGAGACAGCAGAGGGCGTGGAGGTGTTCACTGCTCTGACCCAGCTTGGAGAGACAGGCCTGACTGAGCTCATGGATCAGATCAAAAGGAAGCACGAAACCACAGCAAAACAAAGTGAAGATTTGATCAGAGAACTGGATCAGGAGATCTCCGAGCTGATGAAGACAAACGCTGAGGTGAAGCAGCTCTTACGCTCTGATGATCACTTCCACTTCCTCCAAAGCTTCTCCTCCCTGAACGCCTCTCTACCCACTAAGCACTGGACAACAGTCACCCTCCGACAGCCATCGTATGAGGGAACTGTGGCAAGAGCTGCGGCTCAACTTCGGGAGACACTCAACAAAGGGATGAAGAAGCTGCTTGAAGCTGAGCTGAAGAGGGTGCGGCGGTATGCGGTGGACGTGGCTCTTGATCCTGACACAGCACACCCTAAACTCCTTCTGTCCGACGATGGGAAACAAGTAAATCACGGTGATGTAGAGAAGAATCTCCCAGACAATCCAGAGAGATTTTAATATTGTGTTATTGTCTTAGCAAAGCAGAGTTTCTCTTCAGGAAGATTCTACCACGAGGTCGAAGTTAAAGGGAAAACTAAGTGGGATTTGGGAGTGGTCAGTGTGTCAGCCAATAGGAAAGGAGAAATCGTATCGAGCCCGGAGGCTGGTTACTGGACTCTGCAGCTGAGGAATGGAAATGAGTATGTAGCTCTCGCTGACCCTGATGTCTTCCTCTCTTTGAAATCGCGGCCTCAGAAGGTGGGAGTGTTTGTGGATTACGAGGAGGGTCTGGTCTCCTTCTGTGACGTTGATACTGCAGATATTATCTACTCCTTCACTGCCTGCTCCTTCACTGAAAAACTCTACCCATTCTTCAGTCCCTGTTTTAATGATGGTGGTGACAACTCTGCCCCTCTCAGGATCTCTGATGTCCATAAAACTGACTGAATCAGGCATTTTTTTTGCAAAAATGATTTCTTGTCATTTACACATACCCTCATCAACACCACTGAACATGTGGAATCAACGTGTTGATTTTAAACTGGATGTTATTTAACACTAGAACCATATATAGGTGGACATTGATGCAGTATTTTTCATACAGTCAATGTTTTGATGGGTCAGGTTTGCATTTGTACACTAAGAAGCTAGACTTTTCAACCATTTATCATTTATATTTATTTATATTTATTTAACAGACTCTTCGTCAATGTATGTTCAGGCACTGTGGACATGTTTTTAATGAAATAATAATTTAAGTGTTTCTGTTGTTCTTTTTAGAAATTATTTGAGCTTATTATTTATTCCTTGGCAACTGCGGAAGCAAGCAAGTTTAGTTGAAACCATTGATCTGTTGAGGTGGTTATGTACGTTTGTAGCCTTATTCAAATCTAATCTCCAAAATAAGACTTAAGCTAAGAATAAGAATCGAAGTTAAGAATCGAAAAAGTTAAAACTTAAACTTAAAAAAAAGTATTTTTGTCATTTGAATAGAAGAAAACAACTTGAAAATATGTGTAGTTTATTATTCTTCCTCTTTATGCTAAGGTTTGATTGACCTGGGGTATACTGTATGTTATCCCAGTGGAGATACACGACAATACAGTCAGAAAGCTGTAAGTAGGTGTTTTATTATGGAATATATTGGGTTTTTATTTTTATGGCTTTAATGTGTATTTATTTTATATCTTCTGGTACTCAGCGTTGGTTTATTAGGATGGACTGCAATTTCCATTTTTTTATGGATGAAGAAATTGACCTTGAATAGCCAACAGATGGCACTCATTTGTCACATTACAATAGCAAGTTATCTCAACCCTAATAACCGTTCAGCAAACAGAGCCA